TAAATTTTATTTCCAGTTTTTCCAAAGCAATGTAGCTTGAAAAAATTATGCAGTATTAGTTAAAATATATAACTAGTTTTATTAACTATATTTTTTGCTTCACTCACACACACATTAAAAAGTAAAATACATTTTTATAGTTTTTGTAACACATTAGCTAATTTATATACTTCGTTACAAGCGCAACAACCGCATTTATTTTATTTCTTTTTATTTTAATTTTTTCTTTACACACCCTAAAACATAATGTAACACAAACAGTTTTGCCAACCTACCTTTTTGTACACTAATTTTTTCGCCGTGTATTCGTGCAATTGCGTTTTTCATAAAACCGATTGTAATGCCATTATCACTCACACAAGCACATTCCATCAATTTTATAACCGTTAATTACAGCGCGCGGTGAGAGCAACGACGAATTTTTACGATTTACGTTGGGATTATTATACTCCGCATTCATATACATATATTTAATTTTGCATTAAAAAAAATTGATTTATTTTTATTTTTTTTTTTTTGCTGGCCATTTGAATTGCATTTTGCATTTAAATTTATTCCGTCTTGCATTTGCGATAGCGATTTGCTTGATGCATTTATTTCATTTCACTTGTCGCAAAATCACTGCTGACAATCAGCTTATGCGAATGCACTAAGAACGTACGCGCGTGTGGCGAGCGACGCGTCTCATGAATGACTTGCGATTTCGAAATGAGAAAGGCGAAGAAAAACGTTTTGTGAATGTAAACGGCAGCCGAGCAGCTGACAATAGCGCACGACGGTTGATTTGTGAATGAATGGAAAATGCGCACGGTATCGTCTTAAATGCGCGCAGCGGCTGAACACAGGATGACTGCAGTCGGGCGCATGCAACGATAACACATTACTGGGGAAAACTGATGGCAGCAGCAGCAGTCGAAGTCACAACAGCAGCAAGTGCAGTATGGCGCGCGTTGCGTTCGCAAAATATGACATGAAGATGCATAGACACTGTTATTTGAACGGCAAGACGTGAATGTTGAGCGTTTGGAAGTACGCGTGCCACTATTTGTCTTATCATCGTTTTGTGGTGAAAAGCCAATTACACTTACTATTATCAGCAATTTACGCTCATGCTTTCGCACGGCTCGTTTATATTTTTAATAATACGCCGAAAAACTAATTGATGCGCGCGCGTGTCAAAAACGTTACGCAGCCAAAGTGTTAATAACATGCGTGCGGTACACTGGACGCACGCGCGTACGCATACGCAGTTGCCATAAATTAAGTTAACAGTTGCAACGCTGTTGTTTATTACTTTATTATTTTCGGTAGCGCGCCGCGTTACAATAACTGCCTTACTGACTTGAAAGGCGCGTGGTTTACTTTTAAAAATATAAGCGCGCGCAGATTTTACAGTTATATAACAGTGTTATATTCTTATAATTGCACATAATTACAATAATTAACTGGTGGCGCCACAAGTTGCGCGGCTCTCTAATAAGCCAGTGCCGCGGCGCGTCTTGTCACACGTCCGTTTTACAGGTAAAATCACTGACTTAATTTGCCTGACGTTTACTTAAACACAGGTTGTTGTTGTTGTTGCGGTTGTTATTCGCGCGCGCACGCTACATTCACACGAACCTTTTTGCACGACAGTTAAAACAAAGGCGCTTAATAGCGCTGCTTATTAACTTATTGAAAAATATTTTATTTTCACAAGCGCGCGGTACTCGGTTTCTCAGACTAATGGCTATACACAAATTTTTTCGCGTTCAAATGCAGTCCTTACGTCGCATCACTTTGCACTTTGTCCGTATTTTCACACAACAATAACAATAGCACGCATAGGCAGAAGGAAAACTGTTTATAACCCGTTTTTATAATTAGACGCCGCGTTACAAACAGCAGTCGGTTTTGTGCACAAAAACTAATAACACGCGCAATTTAATTCACTTTATTCACTACTTAATGCCGGTCGTGTTTGGTTGTTGTTAATTAGCAACCGCGCTTCGCGTTTTTAAACCACACAAAATATCGTTAAGCAAGTAAAGTCTAAAGCACTAAATGCGCTCACACATGTTTACTGACCGCCGCCGCTGGTGAACTGTTGTGTTCTGACGAAACGACTCTGAGCCGAACGTGCTGGTTTGGCCCGCTGCTTGACTGGCAAATCAATTGCTTGCCTGCTGTTGGCCGTATTGCTTGCGCTCCGTTGTTCAATACCAATACACACACACACATACGAACGTACAAGTGCGCGGTGGTTGTTTGTTGACTGCAGTCGCGCTCTGTATTTGATAAGACGCAAAGAGAGCGCGCGCGCCTCGTATGTGCGCTCTCTCTTACTCGTCGCTTACAATGTTTACAAACGCTATACGCGTTACTGTTAAATGCCATTTATGCTTATTTCGTCACTTTGTTGACTTGCAATTGACACAAGCAGTGGCGATTGTGCCTTTATTACACTAGCTCTTGTGAACTCTGTTATGTTAACTTCGGCCGTTAGAGATGCTGCTGAGCGCCTTCGTTTATAATTATTATCTCTCAGTAATGCAACACATTGCATTATTTGTCACTCAAGCGTTAGAATGCTTACTAATTAATTATAGTTGGCTTACATGCGTGCGTTTAAGTTAATAGAGCGCGTTAACAGCTGATTGCAAAGTGGCAAGAGCGCTGGTATTAAAATAGAGCGCCAAAGTTAGCAGAAAGATTATAGAATTGAGCGCGGATGTTGAAATATAGCAAAGGAAAAGAACGCGCGTTTTTATACTCTCGCAACAAAGTTGGTAAAGAGAGTATTACAGTTTTGTTCACATAACGGTTGTTTGTAAGTCCCAAAACTAAAAGAGTCAGATATAGGGTTATATATACCAAAGTGATCAGGGTGACGAGTAGAGTTGAAATCCGGATGCCTGTTTGTCCGCCCGTCCGTGCAAGCTGTAACTTGAGTAAAAATTGAGATATCATGATGAAACTTGGTACACGTATTTCTTGGCTCCATAAGAGATTAAGTTCGAAGATGGGCAAAATCGGCCCACTGCCACGCCCACAAAATGGCGGAAACCGAAAACCTATAAGGGGTAATAATAAGTAGCCATAAATAAAGATATTAAAATAAAATTTGGCACAAAGGATGGCAATAGGGAGGGGCATATGTGGACGTAATTTTTTTGGAAAAGTGGGTGTGGCCAGCCCCCTACTATCTTTTTTGTACATATCTCGAAAACTACTATAGCTATGTCAACCAAACTGTATAGAGTTGTTTCTTTTAGCCATTTCCATATACAGTTTAAAAATGGCAGAAATCGGTTAATAACCACGCCCACCTCCCATACAAAGGTTATGTTACCGACTAACAAAAAAACGTCAGAAACACAAAATTTGACGGAAGAAATTTCAGAAG